TCCCCAGAGTTATCAGTTCTTGGGAGAGCTTCACGTGCTACCTCACAGCGCGTACTTTTCCTGGTTTCAGCTTGCTGTTTCTGCGTCCATCCACAGGGGTGCCTGTAAAGCCCCTTCATAGCAACTCACATGGAATGGGCTTTGGTGACACAACTGGCTCAAAAGTTTAAATATCGCTGTGTTGCTTCTGTTGCTATTTTTTATAGCCTCTACTAGCTAGGCTGGAAGTTGCTTGGGGACCGCCTCGCAGTGCTCCTTTGCGTGGTACAAAAGTATCTTCCTGCAGCACTGACTGCCGTAGCTGAGCAGGACAAGTGGTTATCAATGAGCCGGAACCTGTAGAAAAGCTTGAGGCAGCAATTAGCCATGGTTTTTGCTATTAATTTCCCAAATCAATTTAGCGCTTTTGCCTTCGTATGTTATGTTTGAGCTGTTCAAAACCCGTGCCCTGTTCCAAAGCTTCCAGCATCTTTGGTTTTGGTTTCTGGGTTTTTTCTTCCTTGTTTGAGAGGTGAGGATACCTCTTACTGTGACAGCTACTCTTTGCTGTCTTAATTTATGCTATGGTTGGTGAGCCAAGTCCATTTACAGGTGCCTGCTTGATGAGAGATGAGGTTTAAAGCTGCTATTTAACACACCCCCTTCTGAGGCTTAGAGTTAATCTTTGAATTTAGGAGATACTACATGTTTCTAGTAGCTTGAATCTCTTAACTGTGTTACAGTTGAAAATAAGCACCTGAATTTGAGCTGTTAGGTTGATATTCCCAGCACTTTGTAAATTCCAGTATTGTTAATAGCACTGACTGGAGATTTGGGAAGGTGGAGAAATGTGAAGATGCTCATCCTTCCCTCCCTCCCTTCCTTCCCTCCCCAGCACTTACTCCTCAGTTTGTAGAAAATGCTGTAGACATGCTGTGGAGTGCGCGGACATGGAAATGGGAATGTCTTTGACTAGATTAAATGCACGTGAGGTCATGAGAAAGAGGAGGTGCTAAGCTGGAAATGCAGTCAGCAGAACCAGGCAATCTTTCTTGCTTTTTCAGTGTTCCTACCATGATATCTCAAAGGCAAAGACTGATTAGATAAGATCTTGTATTACTGTTATCATTGCTCCTTCGACGGTTAGAAGCTGTCATTAATTTCCAGCCTAAACGATCTGTTTGGGAAGCCATTCTTTCATGGGATAAACCTTATTCTTTAACTTACACACTGGGAAAAGGAGAACTGTTCACTTCTCCATGTATTCGCATAGGGTGCCCTTCATTTGACTAAGCTAAACCAAGCCAACTTCTCTAAGTGCTCCGACTCACGACAGACCGGCAGGTTGCACTCAGCTGTCTGCCCTGTCCCTCTCAGATGTTCTTGCCCTCGCTCTGCAGGGCCGAGTCACAGCAAACACTAGTCTGATACGCAATTAGCACCGGGTTATCTTAATAGCCTGAGCTGCGAGGAGGAGGAGCGGGGAAGCTCAGCAGCACTCTGCACACAGCTGAGCCACTTCTGCAAAGGCGATGGGGCAGGAGTAACCACATCTCGCTGTAACCGCCTCTGGGCCCAAGGCCCTGGGCTCCCCTTTATCCCCATCATCCCGTCCCACCTGTTGGATTGGCACAGGGAAAATCTCTTGTACGAGATGATGCAGGAGATCTTTGCTGTCTCTCCAGGTAAGGTGCACCCCAATAAAGTTTTGAGGTATGAGCTCAACTTTTTTACCCAAAGAAGAGGCAAAGCAGTTTTTTATTCTGATACATCCTAAGAGTAGAAGGCAGAAGAGCAGTTGTAGTTCACTTGTAGAGGCTTGTTTATTAGTGGTCTGTTTAAGAAAGCTTAGAGAAAAATCAAGTGAAAGCTTAGTGTTATCCTCAAAGGAAGTACTGGATGGCCATTTGTGTAATTAAAAAGTTGTAAAAGTAGGGCAGTACACTTGCAACCACTTCTAAGCTGAAATGTATTTCTTACCAAATGGGAGATCCTAATTAGCTTTTTTAGTTTAAAAAATAAATCAGAAAATTACATTAGAAATACCAGTTTTATCTGATTTTGGTATGTTTTTTCCTCTTCTGAAACCACCTCAACACTAGCATTCTTTATACAAAATTTAAAAAAAACCCAATCTATCTATATATATGCTAAGACTGGAAAAATAGGGTTTAAATACCTGGGGACTTTTGTGGTCATTGGTGCCATGCTTAATCTTCGTTCTGCCCCTTTGTCCATGTGTCTTTTGGAACTCATCAGCTACATGAATCTGTAACTCAGCTTTTGTAGAATTGTGTTTCATTTAGTGTTTACGTGGGATGAGGCGTGGAAATCCTTAAAAACAAACATAATATTTTTTTTTTCTCTCCTTCCTCAGAATATTAAATGTTTTTCGTCACTGGGTAGAGCACCATTTTTACGATTTTGAAAGAGATCTGGAGTTGCTAGAGAGATTGGAGACGTTTATTTCCAGTGTCAGAGGTATGGTAATCGGTGGTCCTGTTGTTCTTCCCCATTTTGGTACAACCTGCTGGTCTAATCCTGACAGGTTTTAGGCATGAGAATATCTTTACACACATGACTAATTTTAATGCCTTTAATTGAGCTGTTTATGAGACTCTCCTTTACATAAGCAAGATTTGGCCTGGAGCCTAAACAGCTACCAAAAATTACTTCAAGCATTACGATATTTTCCTTAAGTGTATTTACTTCTGGACAGTAATGTCCATCCCTGCCTGACTGTCACCTTCCTCCTCCCGGTGTTGTATTCGTAGAGAATTCCTGCCCTGTTGGTTGCTGAGGCTGAGACTAGGTTTTTTCCATCTTGTTCTTTTCCCATTTATTGAAAGTTCCAGCTGAAAATCATTAGCCTTTTAGGAAAGGATACTTGACCCATTTGGTATCACTTCCTCTGGAGCAAGCCCTTACAACCTAGCAGATTTTTTTGGCAGCCTATGTGGAGGGCAGCAGTGTTGGCATGTCAATTTTAATCCTCATCCTGGCAATTCTAGACTGTACTTTTCAGATTGCCAGACAATTGGACAATATAATTCTGAGAGAAACCTAGAGAATGGGAGTTTATCTTTTGCAGAGGTCTCCACGCTAACCTTTGCTGACCAGAGGAGTAATTCAGTTTTGGTTAGTCTCTTGAAAGGTATTTGTCTTGGAACTTCAGTCTTGTCCACAGTCTTGTCCACTGTTTTGTGTGCTGTAAATGTTGGACTGATATTGTAAACCTGTATTTCTCTAATCTTTTTTTTTCTCTAGTGCACTAGTACAGCATGTTGCAAAGATCTCACTTGAAGCAAAGATCTGACTTGAAACTTGTTTACGTTTTTAGTTGTTCTCCTCTAAGCAGGTGAAGCTAGCAGCCAAAGTGGAGATGGTTGCAGCTGAGGGGAAAAAGTAAAATACAATTATACAGGGTCACTTTTTTTTTTCCACTTAAAAAACCTGTCAGTAAATGTGGTTAAACACAACTGGGCACCCAAGAGTTTGTTCACATGTGTCTGTATTTGTCAACAGATACAGGTGCAAGAAAAAAAAATAGGGAACTACAGACCTAATTAATTTGCATGCAGAAATGCAGAATTTTGCGTGCATGTACAAATTTGGGGGGGATTGGGTTTATTAAACTATCCAAAGTCAGTTAGGCTGGTATTAAAAAAGGGGGGTTTTTATGGTTTCTGTTCTGCAGGAAAATCCATGAAGAAGTGGGTGGAATCAATTGCTAAAATCATCAAGAGAAAGAAAGCTCAAGCAAATGGCATTAGTCACAACATCACCTTTGAGAGCCCGCCTCCCCCCATCGAGTGGCACATCTGGCGAGTGGGGCACAGCGAATCGCTGGACCTCATGACTCTGCATCCTATAGAAATTGCTCGACAGCTGACGCTTCTTGAGTCTGACCTTTATAGGTAGGGATTGAACTAATAACGGGTCTTTTTCAGAGTTTTTGGAAAGAGGTTTTCTTGCCATCGGTTCAATATCAAAATATGCAAGGCAAAAAAAAAAAAAAAAAAGGTTTTTTTAATCTCCATATCGAGACTTCTGACAACATAGATAAGCACAGGAAGGACACTGAAATATTACGAGTAGATAATACTAACTTGTATTGTCTCTTGTTAAAAGCCAATTTAGTGTTAGTTAATGAGAAACGCTTGTTGCATCATAAAAAGAGAATACAACTGTCTGCTCCTTTCCTTTATAGCTGCATAGCAAGGGCCCAGGTGTTACATGCACAGAACCATAGCACTGGTACGTCAAGGCCCTCTGATCTAATTTTGAAGGGGTTTTTTTGGTCTGTTACCATAAGTACTCTGCTGTTTCCTAGCTCTGTTGTTACCTGGGATAAATAGAGCTTGCCTTGATGTGAGAGCTGGGTTTTGCTGGGTAGAAATTCTTTAAGGCCTTGCAGAACTCAAAGGTGAAGCATCCTCTCGTGCTTCAGTGCCAGCAGGTTTTCTATTGAAATAGGCCGCTTTTCCAGCAGGCTGCTCAAAGTACTTCAGCTTCCTATTTAGAAAAAAATTGTAACTGTCTTTAAGATGCTTTCTTATGTTTTCAGGAAATTAAACTTACTTCGTTGTAGTTTTCTCATCTGAAAATGCTTATTCAAAAATGCCAAGTTAATGAAGATAAAAATGTAATTCCTTCTATAGTCAAATACTCATCAAAAAGTTATTCTAAGTATCTGTTTTGCAGTAGATTAGATTGGATTGCATTTGTGAAATACCAAGTCATGATTAAGGGAAGAAATAATCTTTTAATGCAAACAGGGAACATACAATTACTGTTTGTATTGAGCATTCTTCTGCATCTTGCTTTGTCATTATCAGGGCCGTACAGCCTTCTGAACTCGTTGGTAGTGTGTGGACTAAGGAAGATAAGGAAATTAACTCCCCAAATCTATTGAAAATGATTCGTCATACTACAAATCTTACTCTTTGGTTTGAAAAGTAAGTACAGGTGGTGACGGTGTAGTGGCACTAACTCCTACTGAAATTCAGAGAGAAACATTTTTCTGCTGTTTGAATTCTTGAGATGGCTGCAGGGTATGACAGTCATTTCAGTTTTGGTTCGAGGGTGCGTGCCGTGCCAGTCACATCTGCTCCCTCTTCCCGAGACTGGAAGATTATTTTTTTTTTTTTCCAGTTATGCCATAGAATCATAGAATGTTTTGGGTTGGAAGGGACCCCTAGAGGTCATCTTGGTCAGCATGGGTCCTACCTCTGCTTTAATATGGGGCATCAAAAGGTGTTGACGGCAGTGCAGGGCTCAGTGCCGCTTTTCTACGTCTCTGATGAAAGCACCGTTGTGTCTGTCCCCTTACCTTAGACTCTCTCCCATCTCGTAGGAGATGATGCAGTACTTCCGAGGAGACGGCCAATGCTGCTGTCAGAAGGGTGTAGCAGCTTGTACGTGTGTACCTAACCTAGCGAGTTTAAAATGCCACTGTAGATAACCACTGTAGATAACAGCAGCATGAGAGCCACCCTACTTACCCTGGCTCTTGCTTGGGGTTTGCTTTATTATTTTACAGGATATGCCAAAACCTTTCTTGGCTTTCCAACCTGAACATATGTAAGATGTGATTACATAAATTTGTACTTGAGATTCTTGAGAGAGCGCCAAAATGTGCATACTGGATGTACTGTACAGTTTTTGCTTGGAAAATTCTGATTTATTAACTAGCAAAATGTCTGGGTTTATTTATCAGTGTTTCTCAAATTATGTCTTTTGATTAGGTGCATTGTGGAAACCGAGAACTTTGAAGAGCGAGTGGCTGTGCTGAGTAGGATTATAGAAATCCTGCAGGTTTTTCAGGATCTGAATAATTTCAATGGTGTGTTGGAGATTGTCAGTGCAATGAACTCTGTGTCCGTGTACAGACTAGATCACACATTTGAGGTAAGTTTTGGACATTGCTCTTGGGCGGGGGGGACGCACACACCAGAATCCAGAACTGTATCACGCACACTTCTGAAGTTAAATCCAGAGTATCCTTATCACACTTGCTTTCATGGAATTAAACAAGTGTGAAATGTGCGAAGTTACTTAAGAGAAAACATCCGAGGTGGGCTGGGTGTCTCAAAGGGTTTGTAATGGGAAGTGGAGCTTTTCAGCAGATGTTTTCATGTATTTAGCCCAAAAAGGGGAAATGCTGTGGCCATTCGATTGTTGTTCATTAACCTGTCTGAAACGAACCTGTTGCTTCAGTCCAGCATTTTATGGGTATGAAAGAGGAGGATCCCAGGGCTGAGAAACCTGGCCTGGAACACTTTAACAGCAGCATCTCCTACCTACGCAAGAAATGCAGGGGTAGAAGGAGGTGGGGAAGGGGATAGCTAAAACTTGGATTTCAGTTGATCCCAAGAGCTTATCATAGAATCACTTTGGTTGGAAAAGACCTTTAAGATCATCGAGTCCAACCTTTAACCTAACCCTGCCATCCCACCACTAAACCATGTCCCTAAGCACCTCATCTATCCTTCTTTTAAATATTTAAATATTTAAAGCTTCTTTCGGATGAGTGAGTCTCAGAAAATTCGGACTGTCAGAGGCAGGAATAAATAGCCGCTGAAATGGTTTAGATGGACAGTAGGAAGAGGGGCTACTACACAAGGAGTGATTCCATTTTTCACTTGCCGAGTAAAAGAAATGCCTAGGATTCGGCAGGAAAGCCTCCCTTGACTAAAATGGAAAAAGAAGCATGAATAAAATGTTTTGAATGTTACATGTCTTTGAAAGGCCTTTAAGTTAAATGCAAAATTAAATGTTTAATTTTTATTAAATTTAAAGATCAGGATAATGCTTTTGAGTTGATAGACAAAATAATAGTCTCTTTACAGTAGCCTCGTGATTCACATGACTGAATTGTTGGACTGATAGTGCCATAGCGCAGAGTGAACCATTTACAAAAGAGGTTCTTTCAAATCTGAATTTCAGTTCCTAAGTTTTGCAGAGAGAGCTAGGGAATTGCCTTGGGTTTGCTCACCATGCTATTGAGAAGATTTGCATCCCTATTTTTTTTCTTTGACAACTTAGGCACTACAGGAAAGAAAGAAAAGAGTTTTGGATGAAGCAGTAGAATTAAGTCAAGATCATTTTAAAAAGTATCTCGCTAAGCTCAAGTCAATCAATCCACCCTGCGTGCCTTTCTTTGGTAAGTAACACCAGGGCAGGCTAATACTGTGTGTATTGTCAGTCTTAAGTTACGTTTGATGCAGATGTGTTAATATGGCTTAAAGTGTTCAGGGTTGTCTTTAGCCCTAAAAAATCTGTAATGCAATGTGTGACTTCTGGCTTCCCAGGTTTGTAATGTTTTTAGACTTCATAGAATGGTTTGGGTTGGAAGGGACCTTAAAGATCATGTAGTTCCAACCTCCCTACCATGGGCAGGGATACCTTCTGCTAGATCAGGTAAAAGACTTGGTGTCTTTATATAAAGTTTATTTTTCTAGTTAAGCATACAGATTACTTGTATTGTATTGGTATGAATATTACCTTACTTTGTTTAACACTGCCTCCACATCGGTGATCTGTTTATGGTGGTGACCTAAAGATGTTTTTCTCTAAATTCAGGATCTCCTGTGAAGGAGATAAAACATCTTATTTCAATAAGATACTGTTCCTATGTAAAATGCAGACTGGATTCATTCTTGCCAGCTAATAAACTGTTGGAGCGTTAAAGGGAGTGGTCTGCTTATGCTCAGACTTTTTTATCATTCATTAGAAAGAATGAAACCAGCTCTCAGAATGAAAGTGAAATTTAAAAAATACTTCTCTCTTTATCAGGAATATACCTAACAAATATTTTGAAGACAGAAGAAGGGAATCCTGACTTCCTTAAAAGAAAAGGGAAAGAATTAATTAACTTCAGTAAGAGGAGAAAAGTGGCTGAAATTACAGGAGAAATTCAGCAGTATCAAAACCAGCCTTACTGTTTACGGATAGAGCCAGAAATTCGGGTAATCAAACATTAAATATCTGTTTGGGGGGATGGGAGAGGGTAAAGAACATACACAACAAAAAATTGCCAAATAGTCTTCTAGTACTAGACCTAACCTTGCACAAGCAGTGACCATCAGAAGAGGGGGGAACAGTGGCTGGTAGACAACAAAGTTACCATGGCAAAGGACTAGCCAGAAGTGGGATTTGCTTACTTGGATTCCGTGTTCTGGGTCTTGTTCATCCCCTCATTGTTCTGCAGCCTGGTATCGGAGAGATTTTTTTAGCAGCAAAACAGAAGGAATAAGTCCTACTGACTCAACGGCAGAACTTTTTGGAGAAAAATCAGTTGCCTTTAACCTAAAATGCTCTGTACGTGCCTAGTGGGTTTAGTCCTTCAGACGTTCTGTAATGACACCTCTGCCCAACGTCCGCTGACCCCGCTAGCGGTCAGAGGGTGCGTAGTTCAGCACGAATACCAACAGTCACTCAGCAGGGATGCACCAGTGTCAGCAGCATTAGAGGATGCTGGAGTAGTTGCTTACCTAAGACAAAGGCTAGTGAATCCCAGGTAATTTGAAGAAATTCAAAGGAAGAATGCTGAAACAATAAGCCAGGTGAAGGTAGGTGGGTGTTTTTATAGGGAGGTAACAAGGATTGAGGAAAACAGCTTTAAGTACCCAGCCATACTTCCTAAATGCACAGCTAATTGTAACCTTTCTAAAAAAACCAGCAGCATGGAAAGCTCTCAGCTAGTGAACAGCAGCAGGCAGGAAGCAACAAAGAAGTTGGTTACACAAAGAATTAAATGGGCAATAATACTGCTGCTTAAAATGTTATTTGCTATGGGTGTTTAATTGCTGTGGATATGTCTGGGAAAGGTTTAGGAGATTTACAGTATTCTTAAGCCAGGAAGTACATTAAGTTCAAGGGATGGCAATATTTGTGCTGAAAAAAAGAACAAACGGAAAATGCTGTAGCTCACCACCAGACTCCGGCTGCGGGAGCTTTGTCCCATCCCGTGCCCTCGGTGCCAGCCCTGTCCCAGCCATGCCTCCCCTCGGGTCCTTGTGCTGCAGTGCCATGCTCTGTCCCTGCCTCTGACCTTCCTGCTTTTGTCCTCTGTCCCTTCCTGGTCCTTGTAGTTAACATCCAAAGCGCCTCTAAGAAATCACGGCGCTACAGCAGGAGCATAACCTGTGCTTTCACTGCTGTTACCATCTGCGCCCTGCTCCTCCCCGCGTCTGTGACGTTACCTGCTTCAGGCAGGTCTACGCTGTCGCATGGCTGCTAACGCTGCTGAGCTGCGCGTGATTCAGTAGTCAAAAATACTGGCAAACAATTTAGAGAAGACTTCATTTACCTTGTCTGGTTATTTGAAGCAAGGTCATTTTTCATGTCAGGAAACTTCCCGTGAACTTGATTATTTCTTGCATTGGATTGTTTTGTATTTATTTCAGGGAACGTTCTACACTCTTTTTTTTTCCTGGAAATAAGCATTAGAATAGTGGATTTTTAATCTGTGAATTACAAGCATTTCAATAAAATTCTCTGTATGTGCTTATTTTTTAAATATTATTGGTGCTTGTTTCATTTAGAAATTCTTCGAAAATCTCAATCCTATGGGGAAGATACCGGAAAAAGAGTTTACAGATTATCTGTTCAACAAGTCATTAGAAATTGAACCTCGAAACTGCAAGCAACCACCTAGATTTGTAAGTCTTGTCCTGCAAATTAAATAGCTAAAATCCACTAGCCACTGTGAAAACGAAGATGTAGTTAATTCAATAAGCCATGTGTATTTCCTTCAGCATTCTGTGTCATGAGATGATTTTAAAATACTTTTATTTTAACTTTATAATTTATAAATGTATATTTATAATTTAAATTAAATAAATTTAAAAATATATTTATAATTTATCTTTATAAATTTATAATTTACTATTATATTAGTAGCGTTTGTTGCTACTGAAACATACTGCCTTTGGCAGTTCACAGAACGAACATTTTTTTCCCAAAACTTAAAATATGACAGTTTAAATTTAGGTTTCTTAGCATATAGCAATTTGATAGACTATGTAATAACGTTTTTCATTTCACAGTATGAAAATACTACAAAATCTTACTATTAATTGAAATACAGATTTTATACACAATTAATGTTTTCCTTAAGTAGAAGTTAATTTCTGGTTTTCTTTTGTCTAAATGTTTTGCACTGCTGCAAAAATGGAAGTACATCGCCGAATCGATAAGGTGCAACCTTCTCGCTGATCAAAATATAGTTCAATGGAAAGGAGTAGAACTCTTGTTTTTTAAGAAAACAGCTACTGGAGCCCAGAGCTCTTTTTTAAGCAGTAAGATTGCTCCTAGAACACTCGGGTCTTTATGTGTTGTAATTGTGCTTCTGGGTAGCTGGGGAAATCTCTAATTTTGGGGAGAGCTATAAATCACTTTAGCAATCTCCTGTTAGAGGAATGAGTAAGGTGATATTACAAATATGGCAAGAAAACGACAGAAATTACTGTTGCAAAATGACTGCTTGCAGCAATTTCTTTAAAGTATTTTCTAAAAATAGATAGCCGTGCTGCCAGTCTCAGTCATCTGGGCATGAATTTTTTACAGTTCATGTTTTCCAAACTAGACATTCTTACTGGAATTGCAGGGAAGTCCGGTTCTGGGTACTGTAATGTGGTGGAGTCGTGCATACCACCCTAGGATGGGAATGTAATTAATCTTGAAAGAACCAGCTTTGATCTGTGCTGCGTTACACCTGAGTCTAATGAGGCTTGTTTCATTCACACCAGTCACGTGTGTGTGTGTGTGTGTAAGAATTTCATACTGACTAACCCAGAGGACGTAGACAGCTTGCGTCTGAGCGTGTCCTTGGTCTTGGACGCGCGTCGGGGCCCGGTGACCTTCTGTGGAACAAGCACAAAGCGAGTCTTACGGCGCTGTTACCAGGCTTTTCTGCAGGCCTGTGGGGACACTTGAAATAACTCTCTCCTGAGGTTGTGACTTCCTCTTCCCCATGTTTTGTCCTGATGGGCACACATCTGAAACTTGACTCTTCATTTTTCGTAGTTGTGGAGGGGAGAAAAAAAAATTAAGCTGGGAAAAAAGCTTAATTAAGCTTCATCTATAGCTTGTCAGTAAAATCCTGCTGCATAGATAACAACAGTGTACCTCAAGTCGATCGTAGAAAAGCTGTAACACTGTTTAAGGTGTATGTGATAAGTATTTTTTTTTAAATATCTTCTAGAGACTTGGCGATTTCGCTGTCGGAAGCGTTAGCAGTGCTAATCAGCTTTACTTTTTCCAGCCTAGAAAAACAACGTACCCCCTGAAATCTCCCGGGATAAGGCCCAATACTGGCAGACACGGCTCCACCTCTGGCACCTTGCGAAGTCATCCGTTGCCACTTGAAAAGGAACCCAGCAAGATAAGTTTCAGTAGAATCACTGAGGCAGAGCATGAATCAACAGTATCGGCACCAACTTCTCCAAACACACCATCCACGCCACCGGTGTCTGCTTCATCAGAGTTCAGTGTATTTTTAGACATTGATCTCAACAGTTCTTATGGTAAATGTGCAATATGTTTTAGTAATTGTTACTGTCCCTCAGGCTTCCAAAATGTATTGGTGTGTATGCCAGCCTTTAAAAAAAAAAAAAAGAAAAATTGCAAAATTTAGTTGTGGACTACAAAGTTCTTGAGTCAGTGTTAGGTCTACTGTGGTTTGGAAATCCCTGCTGTAAGTAGTTAAGTAACAAGTGACGTCGCCAGTCTTTTTGCGTACGGGAGCTGAGGCAATCTGTTACGGGCGCTGTCCCCACCGCTGTGCAGGGGCCGTGCCTGCTTTACCACGTGTGGCACATCTGTGGCGAGGAAAAGGTGCTGAGGACCTGGCGTCCACAGCGGCGTGTGTTTCAGGAGTGGTCCCGTGGGCTGAACAGCAGTGATTCCCGTTTCATTTCCCTTGAAGGGAAATCCAGCCTGCGTGTTTTGAGATGTCAACCGCAGTGCCAGAAGTAGGGATGGTCAGGGCTTGATTAAAAAAAAAAACAAAAAACAAAAAATCAGTCTTGATTAAAAAAAATGACACTTTTAGTTCAGATACACTAATACACCCCGAGCTTTGCTTGTAGTGGTGAGCAGCTCCTTGAACGCGGCGTGTGATGGGTCTTGGCTCTGCTCTAAGGGGGCTGCAGCTGTGGCAGGCGGGTTAAGCCTGATAGGGGGCATAAATCACAAATCAGGTTTTATATGGCAAATGCTGAGGGTGTTTGGGCTTGCAGGGGAAGCGAACCACCACGTGGCAGTGTCAGAACAGAGTAGTATAACGAAGTTTTAATTCCCAGCGTAACTTAAAATCCCTAGTTCAGGAAGATTTTTATGCAGGAGAGTTTAATTCATGGTAGCGGTAGATAGACTTGGAGATTATGGTGACCTCTGAGGTCACTCACAAGCATACGTTGCGTGCTGTAATGCAGTTGTTCTGTCTGGAAAGTCTTCAATCAATTTTTTTTTTTTTTTCTTCTTCTTTTTTCCCCATTTAACAGGTAACAGCAGCATCTTTGCTCCTGTCAGTTTGCCACAGTCGAGTGAGTACCGTAACACTGTTAAATGTTTCATGTAACTCTGCTTTTTCTGGTTTCAGGAGAGGTGAATAGGACTTAAAATCTGAAATCTGGCATGGAAACGTGGGTTGCGTTCATTAGAGTTCTGAGAGGAATTTTGTGTACAGGCTTTAGATGAAGTGTCCAGTAAAGCAGTCTGCAAAGTCTAAAAACAGTCTGGTCCAAACCAGATTTGGATTTTTGGATTTTTCCCCAGGCTCTAGCGTGATTTTGCTTCCATTTTGAATGTCCTTGACCAATGCAGCAAATGAGGCAACCTGATAATTTCGTATTACCACTTAGTGAAAGTAATTATTCTGTTGCTGGGAAAGAAGTGGTACTTTTTTGTCCCACAGCTGTGAGGGATATCCTGTATTCACCTGTGTTTTCAGGTTTTTACTCCCTTATTGCACAGGCACATATACTTGTTCATAATATGATTAAAATTTCAAACTGGAGAGCACAGGTGCCTAATGTATTGATACAGAGCTCTGTGCACTTCTCAGAGAAAAAAAAAGGTGTGACAAAAGTCGCCAATACAGGTCAGGGGCTGTGTTTTGTTTAACTTTGAGGATTTTTTTTTCCCCACTCTCTGTATAAAGGAAGGCCTAGAAACATCTTAAAATGCTGCAAGAGTTAACGTCATCTTTTCTGTTCAGTGTATAATTCTCCTGCTCTAGAAGTGTCACAGACCTGTTAAGAAAGCCTCTAAATTTCCAAATTTGAACGTGTACCCGTATGGCAGAGAGAACAAACCTTCCGCTCCAAAGTGTAATTGAGGCACGCAGGCAAACTGCAGGCACTGTGGTAAACGGGGTACGTTCTGCCATAGAGAGAGGACTGCAGAGAAGGTTATTTAAGTGCTCACTAGGAGTTCATTTATTTTTCTGTCCTTTATCTCTGATACTGGAAATAGGAGACCATTTTGTGAGTAGTCTGATTAAAGAAACGAGTGAGAATGTCGCACAACTGACGTTGTTAATGGCTCACGTTGCTGTTGAGCGCAAAGATCTGCTTATTTGAGTTGTTCGAGTTTGGTTTGATGTTCCTCAGATACTGCACAAGCAGTAAAATAGCTGTTTTTCTCTCTCCAGAGACTTTCTTCAGCTCGTGGGGTAGCTTTCCTAAACTAAGTGATGAGCCGCAAAACCCTCCTCCGCTTCCTCCACGGAAGAAGATGGATCAGGATGCTTCTAATGCTAAGGTATTTCCGTCCTACGCTGAACAACTTCAGTAGCAAATCAGGGAGCATTTAGAATCATAGAATCGTTTAGGTTGGAAAAGACCTTCAAGATCATCGAGTCCAGCCATCTAGCCAAGCGGGACTTTGTTAGTCTAAAAGACTTTCAAGTGCAGTGCTCCGGTTGCACTTTTTAAGTTTCAGGTTTCCGGTGTCCAAACTCTTGCGAGTTACTTTAGGAATGCAGTGATAGTGTTTGGATCAAAGGTGCGGCTACGCCAGTATCGTGTTGCTGACATCACCAGGAGGAGACATCAAGGGAATTTGGCGTCTGTCAGAAGATAGGCTCTTTATCCAAACATCTCCATTTCTTACAATGTCTTTTTCTCTGTAATGTTGTAGGGAAGTTTGAAGTCGGATGACGATCCTCCAGCAATTCCACCTCGGCAGCCGCCGCCTCCAAAGATACAGCCTCGTGCTCCCGCTTACACTAACCCCTTTGAGCAGCCGCTGCACAGTCCTCCTCCTCCACCCCCCCGGGACCCTCTTCCTGATACTCCACCACCGGTACCGCTCCGGCCACCCGAACACTTTATCAACTGCCCTCTAAACCTCCAGCCGCCGCCGGTGGGACGCTTGCACAGAGAGCCTGACTGGTTGAGGGAGGCGAGCACAGGCCCCAGCTCTCCCGGCACTCCCCCCAGCACGCCCTCTCCCAGGGCGCTGCGCCGCTGCTATGTGATCAGCGCCAGTCACAACAACCTGGCCCACCCGCCTGCACCCCCGGTCCCACCCCGGCACAATTCGAGCCCTCAGTTACCAAAACTGCCACCAAAGACTTACAAAAGGGAGCTCTCCCACCCTCCTTTGCACAGACTGTCTTTGCTAGAAAATGCAGAAACTCCTCAATGACCTTAGCCATAGTAGTCATTGACACTGGAATAGTATTTGTAAAGTTCCTCTTTTTTATTTATTCAAAAAAGGCAGTGTATTCTAGTACTTTCACAAATTACGCTCTTAAAGTGCTGCTGATCAAAAAAAAAAAAAAAAAGTTTAAATTGGAAAAATAAAACTAGACACACTCTAGCCTGCGTCTGTTCGACAGCATTACCCTCAGGTGATCAGCAGCATTGCCTTGTTTCACATCCTCAGTGCCGACAGCTATGCCAGTACACAAAATATATCTTTTGCACTGTAAACTACACTAAAGGAATTTAAACTGACGTCGTTTAATTGCACTGAGCCAAAAAAGGTGCGTCTGTGGAATTTTTTCAAATTTGAGCACTAGTGGCCTTTTTTTTTATTATTAAAAAAAAATAACCAGAACAATGGGATGATTACACAACGCGAGGATACACAGTGTTACTGATTTTAAACCTCTGGCCACTTGCCTTCTAACTTTGCGTAAGCTCGGAGGTTCATGAGTGACAGCTACTGTTCTCAAATATTTTAATGCCGTGTCTTAATTGCCATTGATTTGCTGCTGAAGACAAAAAAGAAAAATAGGTTGGAATCTAAATACCAAAATACTCAGTTGATGATTTTGAGAAAGGACGGACAAGGACTACCTGTCGCGGATAGCGGAAAGGATCCCTAGTACTTAGCATGCATCTTGTCCAGATGTGCCTTTTTGTTTCGGTAGGCGAAGATGTCTTAAGCTAAAGAGTTGTCTACTGTTCTGGAGAACAAAGCTATATGCCATGTATGTACAATTGTTTATATTGTATATTTACAGATAATGCTAATAACCTGTATAAATTTAAGTGACTCGAGGCCTATAATACAGTCTGCTACTCTTACAATCTTTTACGGTCAGAAGTGTTTCCTCTGGCTTAGGAACAGTCTTGCCTTCCAATCCTAGTAATTTTCTTTAGATCTCACTTAACTTAATCCTGAATCCAGTTTGGCAATTGGTAGCATTTAAACCAGCAACCACCTAAAGCTTTATTAAACTTTTTAAACTGATAAGTGAATGGAACTTTTATTTGCCAGTTGAACTACTTGTTTGAACTGGTTGTGAGAGTGAGTCTGTTTTACTGGTAGTACTGTAGCAGCATTTATAAAGTGGCCAGAAGCCACATTTTATTTACTGGTCTGTGGCCTTTTACTGTGCTTTGTATCAGAGTTCTTAACAAGATTAATAAATCACCCCAGTCTTAATTTTTAAGAGCTTGAGCAGTGCGTGTTCCTTGTAAGGACAAGGTTGGGAATTGCATTTAGCAAGTCTTTGGCAATACAAAATGTCCCCGTTTTCCACGCTCCTGTTCTCAGCTTTGGTTGTCCCTCGGTCTGCGGCTGGGCCCAGCACACGACAGCTCCCTGGGAGCTTAACCTTACTCTCCGCCTACTAACCCACCAGGTGCCTCTGCCCCTCTACCTGGAGAAGCAATTTCCATTTTTTCTGGCTGCTGTCTGGAGGAGGAGCGCTCTGGTGGGAAACTCGGGCTTCCAAGTCACGCTCTGGCTTTCCATCGGCCTGCCTATATTGCTCCTGCTGTCTCAGGCATTCCCTCTGGAAAAGGAGAGGAGATAAGCCCAGGGAGGGAGCTAATTTTCTTCTCCTGTGAAGATTGTATCCTGCCATCTGCCTCCTGGATGTTCTGCTGCTGCCTGTCCCCTTGATGCTCCTTTGCTGAGGAAGGAGAGGGGGGCAGAATCTGTCTCTGAGGTGTCACCCCAAGGGCCATTCGTGCCAGGAGTAGAACATGTCTTATAAAGGAGAGCTGCTTCATTTTTCAAAAATAACCTTCAAGAAGTCCCAAATTTGACATGCATGAACTGGGAGTGCAGGAAAAGGACGATGCCCCCATTATGTTTCTTCCTCTGCAGTAAAAACACAGCTCATACCCTTTAAGTTTGGGAAGAACTCTTATATTGGTATCTGGTGGTGAAATTCTGCTCAGTGAAGTACTCCCCTAATGCTCTCTTTCTAGAAAAGGCAGGCTGCCAGGTGTCACTATTCCAGTGATCTGCAGAATAAGCTCAACAAGTGACATTTTTTATGTAGTTCTTCTGTTAAGGAACTTTTGAAGTCCTCACCAGCAGCTATGTGCTAAAAGATAAGTAATATTTTTCCAGGCTTTTACATTTTATGTGGTGTTAAAGGGGGAAAAAAATCCCCTCCCAAATTTTAGAGTATATAAATGTCAGCTTTACACCTTCCTGTACAAGTGCTTGGACCAGAAGCATTTTCAATATCCCATATTAAAATCTATCGTAGCTTTATATTTTGGTCCGGACCCAGCAAAGCCCTTACCAGATCATTGTAAGCTCAGCATCAGCTGATTAGTAGGGGCTTCCAGACGTATCGAAGTACTTCCCTCCATCAAGAGCTTTGTGAGGTTGGGGTTTGTGATGGACTTCGAGGGGAGTTTAAACTTGTGAAAGCAGGAGCGTGCATTAATTAGAGTTAACCTTGCCGTTCTCGGAATAGCCCTTCTTCAGTGCCGACTTACATTTTATGTTGACAGCCTCCAAAAATACCTGGGGGGGCTGTGAAATGCTTCCTTCTTTTAAACCTGATTGGGAAAGAGAGAGTTTGGGCAGCAGTTCTAAATTCCACAGTTGAAGCCAGAAAAAAAGAAATGGGTAACTTTCAGTGGGGCCCAGAGTGGTTTACTTAGGAAAACCAGTGATGCAGTTAACAAAGTCTCAAGGCTAGGTCATCGTTCTCCATTAGGTTAACACGGACAGAGGTAGGCATTTACTCTTAATGTTAACATTAATTTACTCTTAATGTTACCCAAGTGTAACATTACTCTTACCTTCACAGGGCCAGTTCTGGAGTTAACCTTAAGTACATAAATCACAGCGTGATTCAGAAAAGGGGCCTTGCTTATGGACAACGTACCGCACAAACTGTCCTTCAAGCATAACAGGAGCTGGAAAATACAAACCCAACCATTCCAAGGCAGGGCGGCAGCAGCGATGCCAGCAGTATGAAGTACGGCAGATCCAGCAAGACACATTCCCAAAGTAACTATTTGGCCATGGAAGTGGTCGAAGGCAGTCGGATTCCCAGCAGTGCGGTTCGAGGGAATGCCAAGATAGCAATAAATTAACATTTTAGTTACTTCATAATTAGAGGGATAGGTAAAAAGAGCAAAAAAAAGCTAGAAGGGAAAAATGTGAAATTGCTGGGTTTGAAGTTGGCTTGTGTGGGAAAAGGCAGTTCCCTCAGAAAAGTGCAGATAAACAGATGGAACATGAAGGCACTTAACAGCAAACAAAACATCTTTCTAGTTGTTTTCAGTGGTCCTATTTTGAGTTACTGAGTTTTAGTATTTCCCCCTGCGCTGGAGCCAGAGCAACTTCTCTGGGTGCTATGACTTTGCTATAGTGGATCAAAAACAAGAAGGGGAAAAAAGAACCGTATGTTGTTGCTTTTTCCCCCAGATTTACTCCAATTCTCAAAAATACACCACAGGTCTGAACATACCATTCAGAATCCTTAGCAAATGCAGGAACTCCTCCCTGGGGAAGGGAGTGTGCGTTAGTAAGACGTGCTAGGGAAAAAAGTAATACGAATTTTCTTCCACATGTCCATGGAAAAAATCAAAAGCCTTTGCCACTTAAAAATGTTCACGCACAGTCAACTCATATTCAGCTGCTTTTTTGAAACCTTTCTGTAAGTTTAAATGTTGGATGAGGGTCTAGAACGCTCATGATTTCTAGCAATCTTGTGGCATTAAGCGGGACCGCATGTCCACAGCGCCGACAGGCTGTACTGAGTAACTTGTGAAGTAGATTTTGAATCGCCCTGTGTTAATTTTTCAGCCAGTTCACACGTGGAAAGTTTTCTTCACGGCCCTCTTTCCCTGGTGTTTAATGCTTTCTTTAGCCCGATGGGCTAAATCAGGAAGGTCTGCCTTACTGCCAGGCGAGCTCCCGCCTGCGGCCTCCAAATGGAGGTTTCTCACCTCTGAGGGAAGTCTGGCTTCGTGCCAAGGGCACAGGAGGCTGCAGTGCCCAGCCGAGCGATGGCTGCTGCCCTGCCCGCCTGCAACAACGAGGCCAGTTAACGCAGCGGCTTTATGCTCGCCCACGAGCACTCAAAATAAGAAAAAGCACGGTTTTCTGTCACGCAAGGGTGGCCCAGAGTCGGCTTTGGTATAGCTAACGGTCAACTTAAGGGGGGTTGGGGAGCGGATTTCGTGGAAACGGTTTCCCGGGGGGTGTGGGCCGCCTCAGGGGAGA